GAAGATCAGATTAAGAAAACAGAATTATCTGCATCAAGGACGGAGAAGCAAAGCACGGACTCAGTGAATGGCGAGAAATCAAAAATCTGAGACATTGACTCTGGAATGAAGATGATCCTCTTGACTGGCGATAAAACATCATCCCTGTGAAGCTGTGCCAATTTGTGTACAGTAAAACAGACCCTCCAACGGTGGCTTTTTTAGCTTTGCACACTTGCAGCATTCTCCAAACCTCCTTGCTCTTAAAAAGGTCAGGAGAGGACAGGATAGAGACCATCTTTCTGAGGCATAGCCGATTGACTTTCCAAAATGAGAATGACAAATATGCGCTTGATAGCAGATATGGAGATAAGCATGAATGTCCCACTCAGCATTCAGCTCCAGGGACAGTTTCGGATTATAAGGGAAACTCAGGAATTAGGATGTATTTCCACAAACGGCATCACTTCTACAGAAGTGCTGAATACTCTCATCTCCCACCCAGTTCCATGGAAGCTGAAGTCTTTTTGTGTCCTCACTGCTCAGTCTTTAGTAGTCTTGATCAGCAGCGTATTTTCTTCTCTAACTGTGTGCATGCTGCTTTTATGAGAGCTACACAACAGTGTTTAGAGAAAACACTGGGGGATTTCAGAGCAGACTGTTACAGCAAAAAGAGAACAGAACTTTGTGGAGCTGGAGACCAGATAAAGACTTAACTAGATGAGACATAACCTTATGGAGAGCAATGCTTAGGAAGCTCTTTTCAGAGCCTGCATCTTCATTTAGGGAATATATGATCTTTTCCATTACACTCTCTTGATCTCCTCTACATCCATATACTAAAAACCTGCAGATTTGTAAAATATCCCCAGGAAATAAACATAAATCATGTTTCTCTTTAGCAAAGCACAAGGTAGAATCCAATACTCATGAGTATAGGAGGAATCTGCCTTACAGGCTTTGAAAGACAATGCAATCTTGTCAACCAAAAAAAAAAAAAAGAAGAGCTGATAACATAGTGAGAAGTATCCCTTCCCACAGCTCGTGACTCTGGGAGTTCATTAAAACTCAAATCGTTCAAATATAAAGATCTTTCAAATCTTTGTGGAGAAATGGTTGAGATGGCTAAACTCTTATCTTTTACCTATTATTTTACTTTTAAAATTTTGCACATATGAAGCATCCATCTATGTGGAACCTCAGAGATTTTTACAGTTTTATTAATCTTCCTCCCCTCCAATGAAGTACTTAGGTACCTATGAGCCATTAAAAAATAAAAACAATTGCAAGCAGGAAAGGCAGCAGCCTTCTCTGATTCCTGCAGAAATCACTAGCAGTCCTGACCAGAGTAATGCCAAAGTATTTCCTGAAAATTACACTGAAAATTGTGCTGAGGCTTTGAAAAGTCAAATTCCCAAGCATGTACTTTGGTGACAGATATATCTCTTCCTCTTTTACAGTAATAAAATCCTTCTTCGGGCGATACAAAACTAAAAGTGGATATATAACCATCAGCCACCTGTCTTTTAATTATTGCCTCAATAATAGGACCTACATGACCCAAAAACCTAATCACATGCACTTAAAAATACCATCATGTTCTTTTTGTATAGGAAAAAAATAGGAGGAGAGGGACATTTTTAGGTAAACCATGCATTCATAGATAAATAGGACAGAGGCATATAAGGTGAAATATCAGATCTGTTTTAACAAATGATCCAACCCTGTAGTCATTTGAATCAATGCACATAGGAGATTAAAGAATATAATTTATAAACTGCATCATACTGCTCTTGACAATGAAGTAACCCATATGTTATGGAAGACCTAACAACCAGCACTGTAATGTAATCAAACATATCCAATCAGAGACTGAAAAGGAACCAAGAAATAGCGCTTAGGTTAGACTCTCATTTGTACTCAAGGGTTTAAATCCCCAGACTTTCAAGGAGAATGCGTCTCCCAGAAGGGGGAAGAGAGAAGAAAATTCCATTCAAGTTTTATGCATATCTGAAGTAATGGTTTTATATAGTCAGGAAAGCTCAGTTCCTTAGTGGTTACTGAATCCAAGAAGATCTACACGCTGTTCCCAAAAGACTTCATTAGTGTTATGTCACTCACATCAGATCTGTAACTTTTAACAAGTCTTGCTTTGGGAGAAATGAGGATGAACAAATCCAATCTCACCACTGAGCTTATTCCAAGCAAGAATATGTCATGAATTAATCATACAAGCAAACTCTTGCATCTGAACTGGAACAGAATACTGGTGTTTCTTAAAAGGATGTTGCAATCCCTATGGGACATCCAAGCTATTAACATCTCTATGGACAAATAGATGTGCGGAGTTCTAAGGGGATCTGGAAATACCAGAACAAGTCTCCTGAAGAGATGCAAGGCCTGAAGTGAAAATATTTGCAAAACAATAAACCCACAGGGAACCTGAGCTTTTTTCCAAGCTGTCAAGCAAAAAAAGAAAAACTGATAGCACTTCATGACAGTAAACGGCACTGTGCTGAAAGAAGAGCACCAAATAACTGTTCCTTTGGCCTAAGGATCTCATTTGCTATCTGGATACCAATTAACATACGGTGAGGATGGATAATTGCCTGGAGATCCCAAAACACGAATCCATATCTTTAAATATATTACTACAGAATAAGATTCTAGTAGCACAGCTCACAACACTTCATTCATGGTTAGCATAACATAAAGCAAGGACATTGTCATCAAACAGAAGGACAGCACCAGAGATATAGAGGACAAAGAAAGACTTTGACGATTAACCTGTCTTTTCTGAAAAGCACTGAAAAATCTTAATCTTCCTCTTATTCACTTCCTTATTTATCTGCTGTGAAGGAGACAGAGATCATATTGATTCCCTGTTCACAAGTGGGGACTCTGGGGCACAGCCACATTAAGCCCCCTGTCCAGGGGTGTGTAAGGAAGACACTGGCAGGACTGACACAGATCTTTCCGAGGCTAATGACATCCTGGTTAACTTCCTTAAGAAGCCTTGTTCTCCAGCAAGACACCTCTAACATATATCTTGTGATCTTTCAGGCATCCCTATCCTTCCTCTCTTTTATGGTATGCCCTAAAAGTTAGTTTTTAGCCCTGCTTTGAGATGCTTGGCTTAGGAGGCTCTGTAGAACAATTCCACCCAGTTCGCTGCCTTGGCCTTAGGTGAACTGGCACACACATGGGAGGAAGACGTGTGTCTGCGCACGACCAAGTGCTCACGGCTCTGGTAAATCACCCCACATCCACGTGGGCCTAGAGGGAGGGAGAGGGGGCTCAGGAAACTCATCTCTCCCGGAAAGACTGGATTAAAGGAATTGCGCAGAAGAGATTTGGTCTTTATCCTGTGAATCCATCGATAAGGAGAATGTTGGGCACCTGGACAAAACAGAATGGGTCATTTGCTTATGGTTCCTTTAATCGGGGGAATGTAGACATTGAGGTGGAAAGGACTGGGCTGTTTTCTCATGGCTCCATTGGTCAGGGGAATGCGGGCACCTGCGTCGCGCAGCCTGGGCAATCCGCCTGTAGCTCCATCTAACACAGAAGTAGGACACCTCGCATCTGACCAAACAGGTCTATTTGCAGCTTTGTAAACAGCTGACAGGAAAAGGAAGGGAATTAACAAAAAAAGAAAAAAAAAGAGTAGAATTAGCTGAAAATACTGCGCACAGGTTGGAAATGTACCTCTACCTTCGCTGTAGTACTGTCAGGTATAGCTCTGTGTTAAGCCTGGCAGCTGACACTTATTTTAAGAGAGTTTATCTCCCCATGTGCCATCAATAACAGAATCATCTTCCAGGCATGAACCACAAGCTCTTTTCTGGCTCCTACAAGCAAAAGGGAACAAAAATATTTTACAACTTGCAATTATTTAAACCAGTAGTTTCACTAGAAAGAAAAGAAAAAAGGAGAGAGAGAGAGAGAGGGAAGGAATCCCTATGGAAACAAAGCTTTCACTCCACTGACAGAGTTAGCCAGACAGAGACTATCACTGCTCATAAAGCAGGACCAAAGGACCCTGAGGGCAAGTCCCTCTGCTATGATGGCAAAACTCAACCAGAGGAGAAAATAGCTCTCAAATTGGAGTTAACACATCCATAAAGGATATCTAAGTCTGGGAATGAATATAAGCAGCTCTCCAGCTCATGGGTATGGACTGCAATGCAGCCTTTTGCTGTCACCCTCCCCACAACAAAACCAACAGGAACAAATATACACTCGAGAGGTGCAGAAACACAGAGTGGTACGGGAGCTAAAATACGACATGTCCCTTTGGTCGCTGTTAAGCACTGATTCTCATCTCATATATCCAAAAATAAACCGCTGCTCCTCTGGAAAGCAATTGGAATAGCATAAAAGGTCTGGTAAAAAAGTAACAACAGTGCAGCTATTTGTCCTCTCCTGTTATTAGCACAGCTTGTTGTGTTTGAACAGGACTATTTTGATTCCTACTCACTCTAAGCCAGGTTGGGTTTTCTAGCACATAGTTCACGTGATCAATCCAAAAAATCTGACCACTCTTTTCACTTCTTCCATAGATCCCTTTAGTGCTTCAGTTTTCGGCACTCATATTAAAGCTGTGTTCTTAAAATGCTTTGATAAGTTTGAATGGCATTAATGCTGCATTGCTGTCAACATATCTCATTTCTGAGTGACACCCTGTTGTCACTTGGCTCCGAACCACGAGGAAGTGATCAGAGCTTGACAAGTAATGACACATTGGCTGAACTGAGGTAAGTGACTGGGTTCAGTAACTCCAGGGAAAGGCAGTTTAACCAGGATGTTTCCTATCTCACACCCGAGACGAGATGAAGGCCTGTACACAGTCACTTGTCATGGCTTAGCCAACCGGTGGTGACTCAGCTGCGATGTTCAAGGATCAGATGTATGCCTGCAATTTCTTATACAGGCTTCAAAATAAGTCTTTCCTGAGCACCTCCTTAGTATGTTTGCTGTGTCATGCATCTCTTCCTGGATGTGCATCTTCTGTCTTCCAGGTGATTTATCGTGCCTTAACTCCGGCTAACAAGATTGAAGACCCCTACAGTCCTGAGGCCCAAGATCTTCTGAAGCTCACGAACCTTCGTCTCCTGCTGTTAAAAAGACAGGAATGTCCGTGCCATGGCTCAGCATTGCTAGAGAAGCCTCAAAGATTTGCCCATTATGCTATTTATGACCTGATTGTCCGGGGAAGTTGCTTTTGTAACGGGCACGCAGAAGAATGTCAGCTTGCCAACAGCACAGGAGACACAGAGAACGTGGTGAGTTCTAGGCATTAACTTATTGGCTTTGTTACCTGCTTGTGCTTTCGGAATCTAACAGGAGATTTGGCAGAGATCCTGTCCAGCACGCCCTAAGCCATTTTAGAAAGGGCAGCAGAAAAGATTCACATCAGTGAAACCTAAACCATTCCTGGGAAAAGATTGTGCATAACTCCTCCTGCAGCTCCATGCGTATCAACTGCTAAAGATGAACCCTTCCAAAATCCTGTGAGCTGAAAATACTTACAAATTGTGGCTTTGATCCAAATCCAAATATAGTGAAGGAGAGGGGTACTAATAGTCATAAGGAAATAATGCTAACCAAATACCCAGGCACATTTAGATGGTCACATCACAGACAGAATTCAAGCCATTTAAGCAGTCAGTGCCTTCACTGGTCCTAAAGGGCTGCCTGTCTCTGCAGAGGATTTTGAAAACCAAAATAATCTTCTCTTCTTTAGTTCCTGGTGCACTCGGACAAGACAGACTCAAAAAAACACAACTTCATCTGATTGCTGTCTCTTTAGATTTATGGTACACTAGACATTTTGGTTTATTGCCTTTTCTTTCTACTTTCTGAGGTTGAAAGGTGAACAGATAATTAGGACTGTATGAGTTGCACGACATTCTCAAAATCATTTCTGAATCAGTTCCATCTGTATTATAAATCTAGGAGTTGTCTACAGTATTCCAGAACTAGATGATCTTTGCAAATTCCATTATTTACAAACACAGACCCAATTAAGACATAACTGTGTAGGAGAAGGGCTGTCTAAAGAGCACATTCTCCCTACTGCAAACTGTTAAATAGACACATGGCAAAACCAGATAGATTAATAACACACTAAATGAATACAGCTGGTTGAAGAACAAACACTCTGCCCACCAAAAGACAAAAACACAATATTGTGTAGGTTATTGGCATAATCATTGTAAACTATGACTGGATTTTTTTTAATTATTTTTTCCACTAGTTACAAGGGAATAGAAACCTTTTGTGCCATCGATGACTTCACAGGGCCAAATGTGAAACAGTTTTGATGAAATGCACTACAAGGGTGACTCATGTCCCAGGAGGCAAGAGGGTGGATGCATCACAGCGTTCATGCAGAATTCACAGATATGAGCAGGTCTTTGAATACAGCAGGGATTTAAATACAGCAGGGAGTGAGAAAGGACTTCTAGAGTCATGGGCAGAGAAAATCAAGACATACAATTTTTATGTGGCTAACGTTGATGATACCACAGCAGAAAGATCTGGGCAGCTTCATATTTTCTCATCTGCTATCAAACAATTAAATAAAATGCTGGAAAAACACTGACCTCCACAGAGAAGTCCAAATAAAAGGAGTTTCAGTCTCTTAAGAGTTCAGAGTCCTCATGCAAGGTATTTCCTTTCTGTAGTTAACAAAAACAAAGAGCAAGTCTATGTAGAAAACAACTGTAATTGTTTATTATGGGACAGGCCCAAAAACTGAGATCATTCTGTGCTCAAGTCTTGTGAGGGACCATAAATGTGCCAATTGGTAAGTCTGCTTTTCTTAAAGAAAATTTGTTCCATTACTCGTAACACTGCTGGAGTGATACCGTATAGAAACATGCTACAGAAATCTTGACACTTTTGAACTGCACTTATTGACCTCATTTTGCAGAGACTAGATAATCTGCCAATGACCAACTTAGTTGTGGATCTGTTAATTCAGTTATCACAATATTCAGCTTCTGGCTTCTCCACTAAGTCTGTCAGTTTGACAGGTAGCCATAATGCAGCTCTCTCTATCACAAGTCACAGCATAGTGAAAACTAATGATGCAAGATGATTGTGAACTGCTAAACTGCCCAAATGGATCATGAGTCCTCTTAGTGTGGAGACCCACATAGTTTCATGCACATTCTATTTGGTCCTAAGTCATAAGCAGAAATATCAAACTGAGCAAGGGGCAAAGTAGAAATCTGTAGGACCCCATGGAAATGTCCTTTGACTTAGTTTGACAGCAAGTCATTAATAGCTACTTTTTTCAATGTGGTCTCAGGCAATTTAGCAGGATCAGAATAGGCAAGAAACTTCTGGGCTGACACATCCTGTGTTTGGGATTTGTTGCTAGTAACATTTTTAGTTTTCTATTTCCTTCCTTCAGACCAATGAACAGACACAGAGATTAAAATTTCCAAATTCCATGGCATCTTATAATAGCAAAGGACAAAATTCTCCTCTAGAAATTTCATGGACTATACCATCCTAACTATTTCAAGTAGCTGCTTTGCTATCATTGGTGAGGGAATTTCTTATTAAGACTGCACTTTGTCAAGGGAACTGCAGCATTTTCTTTTACATGGAGGGCATTAATGTGCCCTCGTAACAGAAATAAATGCCCGGACATGGTCATCTTAGTGCATCTTCCACCCCTGAATACAACTGAAAGTAATCCTGTCCCAAGTATCGCTGCTGCAGGGTAAGCAAGGAAATGTGTTGCTATATTATATTTATTATAAAGTCGGGAAGAGCTGTCAGGCGTGGGGTCTGCTTTGCTGACTCACTTTAGCTGCGCCCAAGCGTGGTTTCACAACACAGTTTACAAACAGAAAGAGCACATCGCCAGACACCAGAATCTAGATCAAATTCCTTGCCAAATATTTCACAATTCTCTTTTCAAGCCCATAGAAGTAGGGATGGATGAAAGCCAATGTGAATTAAACTGTTCAGATACAAAGCATTCGAGTTTTTCACTTGTTAATGACCAATACCTTCATTGCCAGGAAATTCTTACTAGTTGCTTCGGATGTTTCTTCTGTTTCTTTATCCTGTTTACAGAGGCAAATTAGACTCCTTATGGGTCTGATCCTCCACAGTGAAGCAAATAGAAAAATTTCCACTTACCTCAAAGAGAGCAAGATCTGATCCTAAGTAAGATTTCTTGTTTGGCATACAGGAGGTTATGCAAGGTAAACCTTGTTTTTCTACAGCAATTTTCTTGGTGACCTGGCTGTTGTTTCTCTTGCAAATATTATCTCCTGTTCACATACCTTGTGCAGCTCTACAGATAATCCCCCAACTAAGGAGGGGGAAATCACGTTATCTGATGCAAGCTGTGCCAGTTTGTATGATCCTCAGCACTCAGAGCTGCCAGGAAGTGCTCTCTGCTGTAGCTGGCAACTCAAAGAGCACGTTTTGTTTAGGAAAAAGTTAGGCTGTGCATATCAGCTAGACAGGTAGCATTAGGACTGCTTAAAAAAAAAAACAGCTTTTACATCAACTAGGAATAAGTTCTAGAAACAGCTTCCTTTGCGGTTTTTTTTTCCCCTCAAAAAATAAAAACTGAATAAGGACTTCAAGCTCTGCTGTTAATTATTTGAAAACACAGAAGGAGATCAGTGTGTTTAACTTGATATCCTGGATCCAGCACTACCAACACTGAATGCTCTCCATGAGCTCTACAGAGAAACTGTAGTTTGCAGCCAGGACATTTTATTGCATAATTGATTTAATTATTTGTTTTTATTATTATAATCGCCTAATTGATTCTCTCTGCTATTTTCTTCTCTGCAAAACAATCATCATAATGCTACCAGCAAAGCCTTTCACTGTAAACATTTGTAAACATACTTAGGGCTGGTAAAACTTGCTTTATATTTCTTCTAGGGTTTGCTATTCACATTAAAGCTAAAGGAGTCAGGAAGTGAAGAGTGGGAGAAGAAATAATTGGTTCATCTCGCAGCTGTTGGGCACCAACTGGGTACCAACACCTCTCTGATGGCCAGCAGTACAGCACAGTTTTCTTCTTAACCCTACACAATATACACTGTCCTCTCTGTATTAAATTTGACTCAGGCACGCACACTAGCAAGTTGCTGTGATGTGACAACTGTAGGAGCTGGACCCTGATCATGCCGCTGTGCCTGGCCTATAATATACTAAGTCTGTGTATTTTTAAGCTCCACTGGCACTGAGCACAGTGTTTCTTTCCTCAGCTCACCTGTAAGTTGAGCTTTCAATGTCTTTCAGCCTGTGCACTCACCCCCCTCAAAACCTCCCAGTAACTTAGGCAAATCTTTCTCTGAGTTCTTCCTTGAGGGTGCTCTGAATTTGCAGTTTTAAGCTTTGGAGGCAGGTACACACAACACAAAGAAATCTGCACAGGAATTTAAAACAAATTCCATATTACTCAGCACAAAATCATAAGATCATGCATGTACTTCCCTTTCTTGGTTTATTCACTGAGCTGAAAGGGTCTTGGGACCAGCTCTTAGGGGTTTAGAACCCTTCTCTGCCAATGCATGGGTTTCCTGCTAAATCAAGGACTTTCTCTCCCCCTTTCCTCCCCTTTTTCCAATAGATTCCTTATAGATTTGGCTACTCCCGAGCTATGGTAGCCCTGCCATTCCCCTACTCACCACACTGCAGCCTTCTGCAGAAAAACTGGGGAAAGATATCTTGTTCTTGGATTCATCTATTCCATTGCCCAACATAATTTCGCTTGAATGGGAGCCACACACACACACACACTGGCAAGTTTGCTCAGTGCACAGCATTGCAGAGGGAAATAACAAGAAAGCAACAAGAAATGTGGATAGTCAGGCACATGTGTGAACTTATAGAGGGGAACTCAGGCAGAGGATGGGCTTGTTTCTTGCAATGGTCACAGTCTGTCATATTCCCTCATGTAAAGAATAAATCTTGTACCTCTTCCAGTGCATTTATGCTGCTGTTCAGCAATGCCAGTCTGAATGTTCAGCTGAATGTTGCCTTTGATTTATTCTTCAACATTACCTGTTCAGTGAATTTGGAAATAGTAGCAGCTTATCCACTCACTGCTGTGGATAAGAAAACCTGTATGGTGCAGCTGAGCTTGCCAAAAACCTCCCACCTGTATTTATCTCTACCAGCTTCTCTCTCTTTACCCAAATTCAGAAATTCAGTTCTCTCAGAAAACATCCATATGTGTATACACTTACTAGATCATTTCCCAGAAATCAACGAATGACCTAGGAAAATAATGTCT